GTGCACTATGGAGCAAGCCATACCATAAAGTTATCTTTAGGTGCCGGGATTGGCACTACTGCTGTCTGATGCAGTTCCTCCGAGTGGTGGCGAAGATCGGACACTGGCCCGAGGATGGGAGTTTCAGCAGACTTGGTGCTGTTATTGTACACTCATGAAGCACGTACGATTTACGATCTATCATCTATGCCGGTGTGTGGCTATGCCTGAGATCTGGTTTGCACAACCATGAACTCACTCAACGAGGTGCACCTCCGCCTACAGAATAGGGTGTGAATTGCTACGATCCAATGCATACAAGATCAGTGTAGCGGTCGCCTTGGCTCGTTCGGGGACAGGAGGCATCCTCGGGGCGAGCGTCCACCCACCCTGAGGCACGACGATCCTGGCTCCGTCCCTCTCCCATCACTCCACTCCAGTGATTCTGCGGCATCAGTACACAGCTTCGGAATTCGAGACGTGGTGCTTCGTTGTAGCAGGTGCCGCTCACATCAAGCTCTGCTTTCGAGTCTCGCACTACCCCCTCAGGTATAAGGTTTTCTAGGTGCACAATGTACAGTTCACACTGCCTCTCACTTGATACGTTTTATTGGTTAGGCTATAAAGAAGGAGAGTGCGTACCCTTCTCTACAACTCTACTCAGACGGTGACGCCCTCGTCCTGTGCTGCCATTGTGCTAAGCTACGACCTAGCTCACTCCAGGCGAAACGATCACTATGTCACTTGCAGCTTTCGATATCAGCCTCAACTCAACTATGGGAGCGTTGTTCATAGGACTCGTTCTGAGCGCAATGTGAGGGCTGCTCCGTCTCAATGCTCTTAGTCCCCATGCTGACTAGACTAACAGCTTTCAGGGAATCACGACCATGCAAGCAATATTCTACGTGAGTAGTACCGCCTCTTTCGCACATCCATGTTCACGAGCCTGAGAGCTCCTCAGTATACTACGTACCCCAAGGATGCTCTATATCTGAAGCTCATGGTAGGTTATTCAGCATCCCGTGCTTTCTGCGAAGTAGTCGGCTAAAAGGGAGCTTATGACTGGTGAATAGGTCGCTATCCTCTGGTGGGCCACTGAACACTGCTCCTGTGATATGTAGGCTCATATAGAACCAACTCAAGGGCCTTGGACATGACGTCGATTAGCATCATTGCATACGGCGTCTATACGTATCTGGTGACAGACTTTTTGGATCCGTTTGCTCTGCTGCATCTCAACTGGTCAGTATATCTTGCGATGATTTGGGTTCTCGCTCGCTCATGATTTTGCATAGGAGTTTTGCAGTAAGTACTATCGACATGTCTTGGTCACTATAATGCCTAGCATTGACAACCTAAACAAAGACTGAACCTCTTGTGTCTGTACGTTCTCCAAACTATGCCCAGTGATGATAACTGTTGATATTGGAGCCAAGGGAACCATCGCTTTTGTTGTTCACGTGTACGTTCCAGGATGGGCGGCTCCAGCCGGGATCTCGCTGACCGCTCCACAGGTTCTTGGCCCACAGGATCTGGAGGTGTAAGTCCTTGGGCAATTCATCATAGAGTACTGTGTGATGTGACAGCTCGCGAGGCAGTAACCGATTGGGGAGCCCCAATAGCATTATTTATCGTGAGTTACGGGCCTCTCATACGTCACGGAATGTCCTGTTCACTGACCCGCTCACTAGGTTGTTGCATCTCTACTCCCTTACGGTAAGCCTCACCATTGCGTACTTTATGAGATTATCTATTAGACTCATGATCACATAGCTACGGTTTTCTGTGAGTGGTTCAAATTACGAAACGTTTATGAGTCTGATGGCCACTCCACAGATGCCGCTGCTAAGGGGTAAGTCATTCAGGCTGCATTGTAGCACCGGATTGAGAGGGCTAATCATGAGAATAGCTTGAGCTCAGACGGTAGTTGGGCAGACGTTAGTGCGGACCTCCGTGTACGTTCGAAAATCCCTTTATTGATTGTCACTGACGTCTTTCCGGTAACCGAATTGACAGTGGACAGCCATCACAGGCATCACGGTGTCTTCCGGTATCGATGTCATCATCACTGTTACCATTTGCATACAACTGTACTGCAGCAAAAGTGGTATATCCCAGTATGCCGTCGCTGCGCCCAATTGGGGGAAACTTACTGAACTTAGTCTTGTATAGGTCGAATAGGATGGTGCATCTCTTGACGATGTATACCGTGACCACAGGCCTCATACCAACGTAAGCCGCTCCGTCTACACTATTAAGCTATCCAGGTTGACATTTTTGTAGGCTTGTCTGTTTTGGTGACATGATTGGAGTACGTGGCAATTTCCCAAAGACACTGTACGCCATGTGACTGACATCCGGCTTCAGTATTTCGCCGCGCCCCATACCCTGGCATACGAAGTCTGCCAGGTGTTGATTTCGCGGGGTACTCTTTCGATGCCTTGTACTGACACCTTTACTAACCAGGGATTGTTAGCATATGTCAATACCTTGATGGCGACGTGAGTCTGACAATTTAAGGCAGAGGGCCTCACTTACGAGTCCGCCTCAATGTCACATAGGCTTAACAGCAGAAGGGCTGTCAGAGGACGCGGAGAACTGAGCTCGCTCGTCACGGAATCAATCCCGGGTATTGCGTTCCGGAGGCCTCATATCGCTTCCGAACTGCCGTCCACAACCGTCGCTAGCACCGCAGACGACGTGGATGCGCCAGTACTCAATGATGTGCGTTCTCTCTGCCCATGCACATGTGTCATCTGACAAGTATGGCAGGTTAAGCTTGACAGAGGAAATATATCCGAATTCTCCTGGGGTGCAGTTGTATAAATGTAGGCATATAGATAGTATCGCAGGAGCAGTGGCTGACCATTTTTAGTATAGGTCGACGGCCACCCTTTGGCCATGTCAGAATAATCTGTACGATCGCCACGGGAATGTCATGCCGAAGTTGTACATCACGCTAAAGAAAGGCACGTCCATGTATGTATATTTAAGGTCTGTGTTCACGAATCTACTATGGCTTGTCATGAGCGACGACACTGCCGCACTGGTGGCATGGCAGCATACTACAGGAGCGCCCACCCAAGCATGGCCCGGGCTGGATGTCCCAGCGGTGCGATTGGCTGATCATCGAGTCATTGTCTCCTGGTTCCTGAGGTCTACGGTCATCATGTTCTCCCTGCCGGAATGACAGGTTCAGCTGCACTCAACCTCGTATTCAAGGTCGATCTCCTTTTCCATTCCGTCCGAAACTCACAGAGTAGGGTAATATGAAGAAAACATGCTTGCGAGGGGTACTTAGGTGTTGAGTGTATGAACGGCGAACTTTCCTGGCCTGAGGGAACTCGGACGTCAACTGAACTGTGACTCACCCGCCAGATGCACGGCGATCCCGGTGACGGAGACTCGGAGGTCCCGACGCTGCTGTCTAAATCTGTCAAACAAGGTAGGTGTCTTCCGCAATTCTGTGTTTCCATCACTTATTAGAACAGCGACTCGGAGTGCCGTGGACCTGTGCTGTACCTGTGCCAGTGGGCAGGCGTCGTGACGCGTGCGAAGTATGCATGCAGATACTTTTCTGCTCGCACCATGACCGCGAGGAAAACTGCGTCTTCTAGTGTGTGGTGTGCACTATGACGGTATGCGCTGCCGATGCCGCATGTAGTAAATACGACTTCGTGGTGTGACTGACCTCGATGTACTAGTTTTTGGGAGTGGCTCTCTGGGTTCGGTCCAGGGGAAGAAGCGAATACATGGACGGGGGTGCCACGCTTTCGCCGAAGCTTGTGTAGGGTGTGTGGGCGCAGAACTCGAGTTTGCTGACCCCCCTCTAGTGGCGGAATGAGGAGAACGACGCAGTGAGTGTGTGATGTTGCCAATGCTGACTGAACTGGGAGGAGCTGCATGCCGAGGCGTTGAACAACGTTGCCCAATGTAAACCTTGTTATGGGAGTCGGACCACCCGCGTCTTATACTATGGGTATGGATACAATGCAAATGTACTGCAGTCCAAGACCTTCCGCATCTCTCCTGTCACTATCGCAGAGCTCCCTCGCTGACTATGCTGGGGGTTCGTCCATGCCGATGGCAGCCTCGAAAGCACTCTCCATGGCCCTGAGGCCGCGACTCGCTGTTGACGCGGGCGCGCTTTGGGCCTCCGCAGAAGAGGCACCAGACGGGTTCAGCATCCATTTTACGGCCTCCCTTGCGCATATAGTCAGCTTTCCGATATGCATCATCCGTGCCAGGACACTTACCCAGTTTCGTGCGCCGCAACGGAAGACAAGCTGGCGGGAGGAACGTAGTTCTTCACCGCGCCGGCGATAGCGTTCGCAAGGTCTTTGCTCGGGATCCCCAGGGCGACGGCGAGCTGGTCGATCCTCCTTTCGACTTCTCCGCTATCGCCGCTGCTCCCGAGCCATTGCGCATTTGCACCTTCATTCGTCTGCGCGCCCGTGTCCGCGTCTCTGGTTTGAAGCTGGGTAGACTGCTTGCCGAGGGCGAGGTTCCACCAGCCGCCGACCTCCGTCTTCCACTGCATGATGCGCCAGACGTAGAACGCGGCGATGGCCACGGCGAGGAGGCTGAAGATGTAGTTGAAGCGCGACAGGGGAACGTTGGACAGTGGCGGGGAGACTGAGCGGAGGCCCTTGCGGTCGCGCTGGGGTGGGAGGTCGGTTGCGGTGTTTTCCACGGCGGACTTGCCACTGATGTTAGATGACATGGTGAACGTGGAGGCCGAGGTAGAGGTACTCGGAGGTGTATACTAGTGTGTAAGTTGTGTTAAGGTGCCCGTTCGCCGTAGGTGATGGTCAAGGCTGTTTGAGGGGTTTGTTGGGTTCGGGAGGTGTATTATAGGGGAGCATCGGGGTGGTGTACGGGCATCCACCGACAAGTCGAGTCGTACTCCCATGACGAGTGTGCGGGGCGAGCATGACGTCGCGCGTTCAACCACATCGCATATCGTCACGCGCATGTTTTCTTCATTAATCATGTACATTAATGAGAGGAACCCAAACACTGCCGAGATAGCTCAGTTGGGAGAGCAGCAGACTGAAGCAATAATACTTGAGCATTGTATTCTGAAGGTCGGGCGTTCGATCCGCCCTCTTGGCATTATTTTGCATCTGGATCGTTTCACAGTGTCAGGGTGAGCCTTGGCACCGTGGTCCATCGGTGGTTGTCACGTCCAATCCTGAGTCTGCTTCAGAGTATCGGTTTGTATTTTTGCCTTTGATTCGCCCTACTGTTGGGCTCTAGCAGCACTCACTGGCACTCCTCTTCACTGCTGGAACTCTGATTGCTATAACTAACTAATAGTACACCGCGGCAGGGCCGACCGCAGAAAGGAAGCTAAGCGATACACATGTACAGTAGGAACGAGCAAGCGAGGCGCTCCCGCAAGGCCGGGCGCAGAGACGAGACGGACACAGGGCTATGAGAACAAGAAGCCGAATAGTGGTACACGTACAGAAGGGGAACGTCATAGCGTAGGCAAGCGCACGAAAGAGGCGACGGGAAACACTGGGCGCACAAAGCAGGCGGACGTACATCATATACACAGCACGGGCGGAGGCAAGCAAGGGAAGGTGGGGACGCTTAGCCAGCAGCGACGGCGAGCTCCAAATCCAGACGACACAGACACAGAGCACAAACACACACTTGGAACGGCCAGACATGGGCTCACTCGCGATCCTATCCAAGCGACAAGACCACCTTCCCCATCCAAACTCAACGGTCAAACTCGGAGCGGGGCGCGGGGCGTCTATCAGTCCCCACCTTCGCCCACCTCCTCCACGCGCGTGTCCGTGCCATCCGCGAGAGGGACAGCAGCAGAGCCCTGGGGCGGCGCGTACCCGTAGTGCGGCCACGGCGGGGGTGTGTACGCAGCGTATCCATGCGGCTGAGCATAGTACGAGCCGTACGTCGCCGCCTCCGGCGGGGGGTACCCAGGGTATGCATAGCCTGCGTTCGGCGGCGTCGGTGGGTGTGGAGAGCTCGTCGTGGGCGGGGGGAGTGCGGGGTAGGGGCTCGACGCCGGGTATACGGGCGGCGGGTAGCCGGAGGAGACGTAGTAGCCGTATGTAGGGGGGTAGTGCGAGGCGGGCTGCGCGGACGCACTGGGCTCCGCTACGGGGTAAGACCCTGCGGCTTGGGGCGTCGGTTGTGCGACGGAGGCTATGGGGGATGTCGGTTCGACAGGAGACGAGTTCGGGTTGGACGCAGAGCTCTTCTTGCGCCTTTTGGTGGAGTTGGAGGAACCGGCCTCGTATGGGCCGTAACGCTGCTTGCCGCGTTTGGACGAATCGCCGCTGTCGGGGTAGAGCGGCAGGCCCGAGAGCGGTGCGGGCAAGAGGGTGGGCGAGGATTCAGTGTCGTCGGCTTCGCCTCGGTACCGAGGTATGCCATCTATACCTATCTCGACTTTGGGCGGGTTGCGGAAGTGCGTCTTATCGAGGTACTCGGGAGAAATGTCGAGCGAGGCAAGCTCTGGCAGCGACGACGGCGACCGCAGGCGGCCCTTCTCAACGTCCTCGATCTTGTAGTACGAGATGAGGTGCTGCGCGACGCCCGCGATTGTGAGGGAGAAAGTCTTGCGTATGATAAATATGGAAATACTTCTGTGCAAGATAACAGATGACGCACCTTCTTCATCATCCCGCCCGGTTTGAATTTGTAGCTATTGGTGAGGCTGCCGACCAGGCTGCGCTCGCGTTGGCGGTCGACGCCGGTGAGGCGGTGGGCCTCGCTCTTCGGCCTGCTCAGCGACTGGCCGTCTTTCCCCTCCTCATCGTTGACCTGCTCTGAGCGGGCGCTCCTGTGCCCTGCCCCGCGCTTCTCCGTCTCGCGGTAGAGGAGGAAGTTGCCCAGAATGCGGCTGGGGCTCCAGAAGAACCCGTCAGTCCACCGCTTGATGCCGCTCTCGTCCTCATCGAAGACGAAGACGGAGCCAGAGGTTATCATCTTGCGCTCAGCGTCGACGAGGCGTCGGGTGACGCGGGGAATCATACCACGACGCGCCGCTTCGAGGATGAGCAGCGCGTCACCTGTCGTCTCGATGAAGCCCGTCCATGGGGGGTCGGTCCAGTTGCTGCCGCTGCCGCTAGAGGTAGGAGACTGCTGGGGGTCGTGAGACATGGCGGCAGAGCTGTAGTCGACATGGCGGACACGATGAGGACGAGCAAAGAGGCGATGAGGAGCGTGCGGCGATGACGGACATGACGATGGTCAGCAAAATCGCATATAAAGTTCACAAACAAAGTTGACTGACCGCGCGCGAGATCTGGTCGGGGTGGGAGGAGGCAAAGAAGGTTCGCTCCCCGCCCCCCGCACACGCCACAAGCAGCACCGTGGGAATGTGGCTCTTTTCGACGAGAGCGACGAGGAGCAGCCAGGCAGGCGACGGCAGTCCACAGCGGATCGTTGTCGGCGAGAGCAGGCACGCAGAGACCCCGTCGTGTCCGTCTGCGCGCGATGGCGACTCCTCAGCTATCTTCGTGCGGTGTGGCCAATGTTCGGGGGCCCGAATTTGGCCTGGTTTGGAGCCTCGTATCACCCTCCTCACGGTCGCCTTCTTCCCTCTCTTATGCACGCCCTTCGCCCGTCGTGCCCTTCTGCATCGATCCGCGCATGCTGCGGTGCCTTCTGCCAGCGTACATCGTGCGGTTGTGACCAGCCGTGCGTCGCCATAGGTCGCCGTCGACGCCCCGGGCGACGCGCCACACGAATAAAGTTCCGACCCATCTCCGTCTCGAGCAGCACGACGCTCGCCGCTGGCCTGCGATTGGCTCGCACGCACGTCTCACTCACGCCCGCAACCCATCCAGGGACCCTCCGCCCTTCTATCGCCCGAACATGTTCCTAGCCCCGCGACAGCCCAGCGTCTCGATACCACCTGCTCCCCCCCGCTCGACGACAGGGAAGGTGCGCTCCCCCCGTGTGGGCTGCGCTCACAGATGTCGCCCTGAACAGCATCTGCGGCCCCATTCGCTCACCCATGTCACCTAGCTGCCGCGCTCTCACCCACTGGCACCCGTCTCGTGAACCACCTATCTGGGCGCCGGGTGCGTCCATTTCTCGCCTTGGTCTCTTCGGTGCCATAGCTAGCCTCGATTACACGCCCCATTGGCAATGCCGACGCAATCCGTACGTCAGTGCGGTCGTCTCCTCGTTTTTGACCATCAAGGGTACCTGGCATGGAAGGCTCAGCGGTCTTCGGTGTGCAGCCATTCGTCCTCTTCTTCGTTCAGCCCCGACTGAATGACTACGAATTCCCGCTAGCTGCCATATTGGTGCTGCGAGGCCTTCGACTCGGCATCCAACCTGCTTCATTAGGCTGCCGAACGATGTTGCCTCACACGCTGCAGCCTGAGATACGGACGGGTCTGGACCGGATCGTGGGCTCCCGCATTTCGAAGTCAGCGAAGGTGTTTTGAATGAAGAACGCAGGCAGCGAAGCAGCATTCCCATGACGCTCGTTCGGTCCCTTTAGAAGGTGCTTCATTCAGATTCAATTCCGTGCAGGGCCTCGCCAGATCACGTTTGTCTTCGCAGCCTCGGGCGCCTCCACTGCGAGTTTGGGGCCCATTACAGACAAGCCGAACACCCCGTTGAGACCCCGGACTTCCGCGAAGTCAGCAGTCTATCGCGGTTCCTAGTTGTCATACACTCACTGCGCTATCCGGGGAAATGTCTACGGCCTACAGTTGTGGCGTTGAGTCACCTGTGTACGTCTCATCTTGTAGCGTAGCGAGGCTCATCCAACTGATGAATCTAGGTGAGCTCGAGCAGCGATGCTGGGTTTCTGCGGGCACCGTTGTCCGCTTTCATCAATCTTTGGCCAATGTGTACATATCTGGAAAGGACAACAGCGCTTTCAGGACGAAGATCAGGTTCGATCAAAGGCTGAGGAGATACTTGCCAAAGCCCTTGCAGGCTCCGATCTGCGATAGCCTCAAGTGCATGCTCCAGGCTCCAGGCTCCAGCATAGTTCACCGAGCGTGGCAGTAGCAGCGGCCGTGGGTTATTACCTAGTGTCATCGGTGCCACCGGCACCGACAATTAGTATCCCTCAGGCTCATATCATGACGTGCTGTCAAGAACATCCGTTTGCATAGGTGCGCTGATACTGCAAATTTAACATTAGACATCGCAATATCTCTTCTTGACCATGCCATTCGAAGCGGTCTTGCGCTACCCAGAGTGACTCCCGCCGAACGCAGGGAGGTAACAAGAGACTCGATACTTGGCTTCGGCGCACATTAATTTATTAGAGTTCGGGCACCCGGATTTTTCTCCACAGTCGGCCCATGTTAAGGCACTGTCGCAGTCCCGGTGATGATCGTGATTCGCCGCGACAACGGACTGGTCTCACAGTTTGTGCAGTCGAGCCCTTGGTAGACCCCCGTAGTCGCAAGCACGCAGTATCGGTGGAAGCACAGAGACGTCATCAGGCTGCAGACACGTTCGCTGGGCAGTACCAGGTGATACCCCGAGTCTCACGGCAGCAGCAGATTGAGCCAAGTGACTACTATGCTCGTCGCGCGGTGCCCTGATACCTGGGAGTCAAGAGGCCAGACCGACCGAAATGAGCACACAGGACGTCGAACTTATGCCTGGAGGGTTTGAGGAATACTTCGAGGCGAAGACCCACACGGTTCGGGAACCTGCTGAGTTAGTGCGATGTTGACCACATCTGGTTCGCTTTTCAATCCTTCTAGGGAAGAGCACGGTGCCAGATCAATTGGATCTACGTCTACGTCAACGCAAGCCCCCCGGCCCCAGCAGTGAGCGCTGAGCATCTCCACCAGTCCCTGAATGGCACGTACTAGCGACTTGTCGAGATGCACTAGTACATATGTCATCGTCCAAATCCCCTACACCGCCGTCGTTTGAGTAATGCGGCAGACGTTTGCCGGACTATCCCCTGGATGCGGTGCTGTTCACTTGCGCTCACGCATACCACGTCGAGTGCATCGATGATGCCGTGACTGATTTACCGAAGTGTGTTGTAGAAAAGGTGAGCGCACGCGGGGTCTCGGGATATGTGTGAATATGTGGCACATATATACTTAGACTGAAGGTGACGCATGAGTACTTGAGTCGTTTGCAGCACA